GTTTCTAGATCCATTCTACTATATTGAAAAAATAAATCTGGATCTTCTTCCATTTCTTGAAAGTTGGTTGAAAATAATCCTTTCTCTATTCGTGTGCTGTTAATAGGACGAACAAACCACTGCCTACTTTCCCATTTTTTGGATTTTATGTCGCTACAAAATTTCAGGACATTATTTAAATCCATTAAAACTTCATTTAGAAGCTGTAATACATGGGCTAATTTAGTCTTTGTATCATTCATATTTATTTATTACTTTAAGTATTTTTTTGTTTAATAATACATACAAATTATCTATACAACAGATAACACTTTTGCAAATTTAGTGTACAGGTGAAAATAAAAATACATTTCACTTGGAATCGGGGTTAGGTTTAATGTTGATACAAGTATGTATCACGTCGCTTGTATCATATAACTTATCTTGTAGCATATATCACCGTTTCGTGCGGTCGGCTTTATCTTTCACAGTCATCGCGAACGATGAAACCGTCAAGTCGCACTTTTAATATTTGCTTTCTTTGGAACATACTTCCGCCAGAAATTTCTCACGTCTTTCACATTTGCGAGTCAAGGACGATTGTCGAGAAATTTTTAAATCGGAACCTTATCAGTTTTGAAAAAAGTTGTCAGGTTTGAAACACAACATGAAAAACGCGTAATTACTCATCATGTTGAGATTTGGTCCGTTTTCAGGGCGAATATGACACAAGGGAAAATTACAATGACAACTTGGGGCGTGATGGACGGTCAGGAAATGAAAAAGTTCACTCTGAGAAACAAAGTTGGTCAGGAAGTCGACGTTGTGACGTATGGCGCGACCGTGACTGCCATCAGAACACCGGACAAGCATGGTAACATAGAGGACGTAGTACTTGGTTTCGACAATGTGGAAGGTACTTGCCTATTGTACGGGGGAATGTTCGATTCGAAATATTCTACCAGTTAGATTGTAACTTATTCTTGAAACTAGAGAATCGAAACCCTAAATTAAGAATTTGAAATATTTACAAGTTCAAAATGCACAGAAGATGATTCAAAGACAATATCTGAGTATTTACTGAATAGTGTCTACACTTTAAAATTGGAAAAGAAAATAATGTCGAATATATGAACAACTAAAATGAGTTTCGAGGATATGTATTGAAAATTTTATTTGGGCTTCTTTCGTAACACAGAAATATTCGTATAAGTAATTTATTTTGACGTTTATTCTAATTTGATATATCCATCCAAAGGGAACGAATCGCTTAATTTTAGAAGTCTAAATATATAAAAAATGAAGCAAAAGGAATGTCTCGCTTTCGAAAAGTATTCGCTTTTGACCTTGAATTATTGATTGTACAATGAAGTTAAGGTCGCCAGCTTATATCTCCTTCCAAATCCTACAACTTTTGTCCATTTTGCTTTATTTATTTTTTTTTAAATATATTTAGGCTTCTAAAGTTAAGTGACTCACCCTGTATAAACTTTTCCTATCATACCACCGTTTAAAACAAGATCATGTGCAATACTGACGAGTACAACGATCGTCTCCAGGATATCAATCATCAAATAACCCGTACTTCGGTGCTACCATCGGCCGAGTCGCAAATCGCATCGGAAAAGCGACTTTCGTCGTGGACGGTCAGCGTTACCACGTGTCGAAAAACATAGGTGAAGATAGTCTTCACGGTGGCGCCCACGGCTGGAGCATGAAGATGTGGAACGCCACTGTGGAGGACGATCGCGTAGTGATGACCTTAATCAGTCCGGAGGGCGATGAGGGCTACCCGGGAACAGTAACAACCACGACTACCTTCCAATTGAACGACAACGGAGAATTGTGCATAAAGATGAAATCTACATCCCCGAAGGCAACGCCGATCAACTTGACGAATCACAGCTACTTTAATCTCGCTGGACACGTGTGTAGCATATTCTTCTTTAATTCGGACATCTCGAAAATCTTTTCCCGTAACCAATACCTTATTCACATGTTTCTTTATTTCTTTATTTTCACGTAAAACATTATGATTTATTTATGTAAAACATTATGATTCATTATGATGAATTTCTTTATTTTCACGTAAAACACTATGAATTTCTGCGAAATATTTTTATATCGAAAATATCGCAGTTTTTGGCAAGGAAATTTCGAGCAGCGATCCTGCGACTACCTCGATCGTTGTTGTTCTACTTCACAACCGCTTCTTCGCTTTTAAAGACTGATCGATCAAAGACTTGATCGCATATGATAAATATATTTTCAGGCTACGGACGCGACGGAGTTGTATAAACACGTATTTATGTTCAACGCGGATCGCTGGACCGTTACAGATTCGGGCCACATTCCCACCGGCGAGATACGGTCAGTCGAGAACTGTGTGATGGATCTCAGGAACGCCACCACGCTTAGCGACGTTATCGACAAAGTTCCAGGTGGCGGTTACGACTACAATTTTTGCTTGCCGGCGCCATACGACAGTAGGAAAGTCAATTTCGTTGCTACGGCGATACATCCGGCCACAGGGAGACGTTTAGATGTGTATTCAAATCAGCCTGGTGTACAATTTTATACATCCAATTCTCTGCCCGAGAGAAACGACACGGCTGTTATAGGCAAACACGGAGCACAGTACTTTAAGCATGGCGCCTTCTGTTTGGAAACGCAAAATTATCCCGACGCTATAAACAATGTAAGTCTTGCGACAAGAGCCAATTATTTGCTGTGGAGTTTTGCTTAATTTTATCACCAGTGTCATTCTCATCGTGGCGCGATCAAAAATTACAAGTGAAAATAAGATATGTGTAATAAAAGTATACGGGGACTTGTAAACATAAATTCATACCATGGCTCTTTCATTTATTTTGGAGATTTTGCACTGTTTGAGGGTTGTATATTAATTTTATATTACCATTTGCAGAAAAACTTTCCTAATAGCGTACTGCGACCAGGGGATATATACGAGCACATTGTTGTATATAAGTTTGGAGTAAAAGTGTAACATACATATATATATATATATACAGAGCTCACTTATCGAGACTATAAACTGGAAAATTAAATGAATATTAACTAATAAAAGATATATTGTTAATCATTTGTAGTTGTATGAACAAAATATATTTAATTACCTATAACCTAGCCATATTGCCAAGCTTAGCAACTTTGTATAACAAAATACAAATCTATTCAGACTTTTGACAAATATTGTAATTAATGTTTTAAATGACTTACATCTAATTAGACAATGACGGTGAAAGATTAACTTCTAAAGGATTGTGTTTCTTCTTGGTAGTCGAAGAATCTATACTTTCCAATAATCTTTCTTGCCGTTGTTGCGTAATAGGTGCTGTCGGAGGTGTATAACGATCAGATATCCAACCTTCTACATTGTATCCAACATATCCAATAACTGCCACAAAAGGAAGTGTAATGTATTTACCAAACTTGCCTAAAGATCTCACTACTAAAGGCCACATTTTCTTTATAACTGCAACAAAAAGAAAATTACTTTAATTATTTTCTAATGAAAACTATAATACAAAAGTTATCCAAATATCAATTTAATATTATAGTATAAATTTTCAGAAAGTGTTATAAAATAATAGAAAATACAAAATTTGATATAAATATAAATCTTCAAATTTATCTAGAAATATTTCTACCATTACCTGTAAAATTGTCCTGTGTAAATATCTTCCACAGATCCGACTAGTCGCTTCTGAACGTAAAACGTTTATTGGGGCAAAAAAACGCAATAGCAAATCAGGGTGCTATTTGCCCGTAAAAGCTAGAAGTTTGTTGGCTACCACGTCAACTACGAATCAAGCGTACAAAAGTTCTATTGGATGCATACTTTTAGATTTAAACATTTACACCAATCACATGCGTCACTGAGTGAACAGTGTAGCACTAAAAGTGCGGGGACCCGATTGACTACGGGCTACACCGATTGGCCGACACTAAATCACAACTGGCTGGTACCATTACAAAATCCCGTTATAGGCCTGTTCTACAATACGTCGGGTGCTAAAACGTGGTCCAGTGAGGAGAACTCACTTTCGAAAAATAAATTCTCTCATTGGACCATTGGCTGCATTCCGGCATATTGTAAAACAGGCTCAGACCGATATTCATTGTCAGAACTTATATTCAGTCTACGGATAGAGATTGAATTTGGCCAATCAGTACAAAGTTAACAGAATTCAAGTTTAATGAAATTTAATCAATTGAAGGTAGACATAAAGTAATGGAGCAATATGCTAGTTACACACGCTTTAATGCAAGAAAATTAAGGCTGAAAAATTAGAATTGTACTTATAAATTATGTCGCATTTTCGCATGTTAAATAAACCCGACAAAGAATAAGATAAGATTTTCAATATTATTTTTCGTTGGTATGATTGTTCTTGTTTTAAACACCATCGGATTGATGTAATAAAGGTATCTTATTATTTCCTTTCCTGTTGAGTTTCTCTGATAATAATTTTGCTTTTTATATGCAACAAACCAACTGTTCTTGGAATTCGTCAGGTTTATTTAACATGCGAAAATACGATATAATTTATAATTTTTTCACTTTTAATTTTCTTGCATGTGTAACAAATATATTGTTCTATTATTTTATGCCTACACCTTGTATATGCAATTTAATAGATCACTTACTGCGCGTCAATTTATAGGTTTACTTCATCGTAATTTTTGTGTGTTCCGAAATATGAGAAAGAAAACTTGCTATCGTTTTGTGACCGAATGTACATACAGGCCTTAATTCGGTCACTGTATGATTCTACTGTAGATGGCGCTGTTTTCACAGGAGGAGGTCTGGGCTAGCAAGTATAAAGTCCCTTTCCGGTTGGAAACCTCCTAGTGGCATTTGATAACGTAAGGCTCGCGATATTTTGTCCTAATTTTTGATATTTCATATGCAAAAACTAGACAAAATAAGTAAAACTTTAAATAGTAACGACTTTTAAGTGTTATTTTCAATAAATTATTCTTTAGCGGAAATTTGTAATCGTTCGTGAAACATATACCCGGAGGAGCACGTGGCATATTTCTGTAGCTTAAGCATTATATATATATATATATTTTTTTTAAGTCAGATTGTTGAACATATACAAGACATTGAGGAGTTTTCGTCACTATTCATGCAAATATATCTAAATAAATTGAAAATTTAATCTTCATTGCTCGATATTTTGAGGTTATATCGCACTTTGCTTGTGACGCATATGAAAATAATCTATGGGAAAAATGAGGAATGTAGCCTATAAGAAACTTGAAAAATAATAGATTTAACGGTAAAATCTAAAGAGAAACATAATTTAGGAAGGAAAAACTCAATTTTTTAGGTTTATTCGTAATTTAACCAAAACGTCGCGATGTCAGGAGGATTAGATATATTGGCTCTTAAAGAGGACGATGTTACCAAGTTATTGGTTGCTTCTGCCCATCTGGGTGCAGAAAACGTCAACTTCCAAATGGAGCGGTATGTCTATAAGAAGAGAGTCGATGGTAAGTGTTCGATATGAATCTATTATCTGTATGTATATATATATATAGCATTATATATATATATATATCTTAATTTAAATAATATCCTATAGGTGCGGGTATGAATATAATTGACATTCGCCATACCTGGGAAAAGCTGCTGCTTGCCGCACGCGCTATCGTTGCCATTGAACATCCGAGCGAAGTATTTGCTGTTAGCTGCCGCCATGTGGGTCAAAGAGCTGTACTAAAGTTCGCTGCTCATACTGGTGCAACTCCTATCGCTGGACGGTTTACTCCTGGTGCATTTACTAATCAGATCCAGGTATATCAGCTAGTCTTGCGTTTAATACGAATTATTGATGGTTCATTTTGAAATCCTTGTTCGCTTAACCTTTTATCGACAGATAAGCGAGATCTCTTCTTCGTTTCCTTATTTTCTTTTCCACTTATCACTATAAATGATGAAACAATAGGAATCAGAAAGCAATCTGTTGATTATTTTATGGCTTAATCTTTTCTGATGAAAAACTAACTCTTCTCATTGTATGTTTATTGACATCTCAGATGCATCTCCGTAATTCCAATTCTTGTTTTTCAGGCTGCTTTCCGTGAGCCACGTTTGCTGGTTGTCACGGACCCATCCACTGATCACCAGCCAATCACTGAAGCAAGCTACGTGAATATCCCCGTGATTGCCTTCTGCAACACCGACTCGCCATTACGTTTTGTAGACATCGCGATCCCTTGTAATACCAAGAGCGTACTTACCGTTGGTCTCATGTGGTGGCTTCTCACCAGGGAAGTCTTACGTCTGAGAGGTTCCATTCCACGTGAGACCAAGTGGGATGTGATGGTAGATCTCTTCTTCTATAGGGATCCCGAAGAGGTTCGTCGTGATTTCGTCATTCGCAATGACTTTCTTTCTTACCGCCCATCTTTCCCCATTGTTTTTTTTTAGATTGCCAAGTAAGCGTTTCCCGATGTACGAAAAAAGTATATAAGATTTCGTTTCCTTAGGCGGAGAAAGAGGAACAAGCGGCAAAAGAGATCGCGCCCACCAAAGAGTTCACGAGTGCCGCAGTCGAAACCACAGTCCCTGCGCCAGAGCCCGGTTGGGCCAACGAGGTCGAGGCGACTGCTGTGGCTACGGAGAACTGGGCCGATGACGTAGCACCACCAACGGCAGCCCCTATTCCTGCAGCTAGCACTGCGCAGCCCTTCCAAGCGAGTGGTGACTGGGCTGCGCAGGTAAGAGACATATGCGCATTAATCAATATTAAGCTTTATTTCACGTAATTTTCACATTTTTAACTTGAATAATTACCATTTATTTATTCAGCCTCCGGAGGAATGGTCGACATCTGTAGCGACTGCTCCTGCTCAGAGTTGGGGAGGTGCAAGCAGCGAAAAGTGGTAATCTCGTCCTTTCTGACGTTATCTCGTGGATAATAAGACTTTTGTAAACTGTCTAACAGGACTCTCTGAAAAGAAACTTGTCTTTTTTCTCTTACACTTAATCCTACATACACATATCCTATGTATCTCGTTTCTCAGTGAGATATATATATATATATAACTCATTCTAGCGTGCATGCGTCGCGCAAGTTTTCCAAGTAAAATGGTTTAGATCTGTATAATTGGTCGGTCAGTTGATGAAATTTATTCTTTAGAAAGTAGTTTGTCAAGTTTTCCTCGTAACCCCCTAGTCATCAATATGGAAAAGATTTCATACGCTATAATTAATGTGCAGAGACTGGAGTAAAAAATCAAGTCAGATTTAAGAATGAAGGAGATCGTTTCTTGATTAAAATAAATTTTATACTATAATCAAAATAACTGATCATGCTTCTCAAGTATGTATTGTTTACAAAGCTAAAATTTTACTTAAATATATATATATTTTTTATACATATATATATATATATATATATATATATA